CCCAGTGTGCATACATACCCCAGTGTGGGTACACTGCCCCAGTGTGCCTACATACCCCAGTGTTGGTACACTGCCCCAGTGCGGGTACATACTCCAGAGTGGGTACACAGCCCCAGTGTGGGTACATTATCCCAGTGTGGGTACACCCTCCAATGTAGGTACACTGTCCCAGTGTGTATATGCACTGTAGTGTTGGTCACTGTCCAGTGACAATTCTTAAGATGTTTAACAGGAATGCACTCTTTCCTGTTGAATGGGAGGAACAGCTGGATCACTTACGCAGGAAGTACCAGAGGACAATCCCAGTTATGACCAAAATGATGATGATTAGCACAAAGGACATGATGATTATTGTCCTCCTGCCGGTCCCTGCCAGTTTGGTAGGTACAACCACCTGGAATAAAAAAGACAAAAAGGCAACCATTTTTGTCACTGCAACGTTTACAATCACTCAAATACCTTCAGGCTGACTGCACTCCAGGACACTACAACCACTCTGTGGGAATTCATCTCAAAACGTGCATCAAAGAAAGTTGTGCATTTTCATTTCCCCTCTTTCCTTCATTTATCGCAGATTTTGGAGACAGGGGAAAGGAGGATGGTTGACAGCAAAGAAACATTCAATTTTTTTTATTCATTGCCCATCCCAGAGGACAGTGAGGAGTCAAACACATTGCTGTGGGTCTGGAGTCACATGTAGGCCAGACCAGGTAGATTCATACAATACAGGAAAGGCCCTTTGAGTCTACACCGACATAACTTCCACTAAACATGCACTCATCCCAATTTCCTGCACTTGTCCCATATCCTTGAATGTTATGATATTTGAAGTACTCATCCAAATTTTTGTTTTAAAAGGTTGTAAGGTTTCCAGCAGTGTACCCACACTGGGGCAGTGTACCCACACTGGGGGATGTACCCACACTGGGGCAGTGTACCCACACTGGGGCAATGTACCCACACTGGGGCAATGTGCCCACACTGGTGCAGTGTGCCCACACTGGAGGATGTACCCACACTGGAGAGTGTATCCACGCTGCGACAGTGTACCCACACTGAGGGTGTATCCATGCTGCGACAGTGTACCCACACTGGGGGATGCACCCTCACTGGGGCAGTGTACCCACACTGGGGGATGTATCCACACTGGGGCAGTGTTCCCACACTGGGGGATGCACCCACACTGGGGCAATGTACCCACACTGGGGCAATGTACCCACACTGGGGCAACATGCCCACACTGGTGCAGTGTGCCCACACTGGAGGATGTTCCCACACTGGAGGGTGTATCCACGCTGGGACAGTGTGCCAACACTAGGGGATGTACCCACACTGGGGCAGTGTACCCACTCTGGGCAGTGTACCCACACTGGAGGGTGTACCCATACTGGGGCAGTGTACCCACACTGGGCAGTGTACCCACACTGGGCCAGTGTGCCCACACTAGGGGATGTACCCACACTAGGGCAGTGTACCCACACTGGAGGGTGTACCCACACTGGTGCAGTGTGCCCACACTGGGGGGTGTGCCCACACTGGGGCAGTGTACCCACACTGGACAATGTACCCAGCCTCCACTACCTTCCCAGGCAGTGCATTCCAGATTCCCACCACTCACTGAGTGAAAAAGTTATTTCCCAAATCCCCTCTGAATCTCCTGCCCCTTACCCTTAAACTATGCCCTCTCATGATTTACCCCCTAACCAAGGGGAACAGCTGCTCTCTACTCACCCTGTATATACCCCACATAATTTTATACACTTCAACCATATACCCCCTCAGTCTTCTCTGCTCTAAAGAAAACAATCTAAGCCTATCCAGTCTCTCCTTATGGCTCAATTTCCCCGTCCCACGCAACATCCCTGGTGAACGTCCTCTGAACCACCCCTAGTGCTATCACATCCTTCCTGTAGTGAGGTGACCAGAACTGCACACAGTACCCAATTAACCTGTATCCCTATTCCCAATTCCTCTGCCTCCGCCGCATCTGCTCCCAAGATGAGGCGCTCCAGTCCCGGACATCCCAGATGTCTTCGTTTTGCAAGGACCACAATTTACCCCCAACAGTGGTTGAAAACACCCTTGACCGCATCTCTTGCGTTTCCCGCACCTCAGTTCTCACACCCCCTCCCCTCAATAAAAGCACGTATCACCCCATTAACCTCCGGATTCAACACATCATTCTCTGCCACTTCCGCCACCTGCAATCTGACCCCACTACGAAAGATATTAATCCCTCCCCACCCATATCTGCCTTCCGGAGGGACCGCGCTCTCCGCGACTCCCTCATCCACTCCACAACTCTCTCCAGCCCCAACTCACCCGGCACTTTTCCCTGCAACCGCAGGAAGTGCTACACCTGCCCCTACACCTGACCCCTCACCTCCATCCCAGGCCCCAAAAAATCCTTCCACATTAAACAGATGTTCACCTGCACATCCACTAATGTGCTCTATTGTATCAGTTGTTCCCGATGTGGCTTCCTGTACATCGGAGAAACCAAGCGGAGGCTCGGAGTCCACTTTGTGGAACACCCACACTTGGTTTGTGACAAACGACAACACCTTCCAGTCATGAACCACTTCAACTCCCCCTCCCACTCCCTGGACGACATGTCCTTCCTGGGCCTCCTCCAGTGTATCAATGAAGCCACCTGGAAACTGGAGGAACAGCACCTCATATTCCGCCTTGGGAGCCTACAACCCAATGGTTTCAATGTAGACTTTACGAGCTTCAAAATCTCCCCAACCCCGGCCTCATCCCATGACCAGGCCTCTCTCTCGTCCCTGCCTCCTTGACCTGTCCGTCTTCCTTCCCACCCATCCGCCCCTCCCTCCTCACTGACCAACCCCTATCCCAACTCCCTACCTACACTCACCTTTACTAGCTTCATCCCTGCCTCCTTGACCTGTCCGTCTTCTCTCCATCTATCTGCTCCATTATCCACCTTCTATCACCGTCTCCCCCTCTCTCCCTATTTATTTCAGAACCCCCTTCCCCTCCCCCATTTCTGATGAAGGGTCTAGGCCCGAAATGTCAGCTTTCCTGCTCCTCTGATGCCGCCTGGCCTGCTGTGTTCATCCAGCTCTACACCTTATGAACATAGTACTCCAGCTGTGGCCTGACCAATGCGCTGTACAACTCCAACATTACCTCCTTGCTCTTATACTCTATGCCACGACTGATGAAAGCAAGTGTCCCATACACCTTCTAAACGATCCTATTCATGTGCTTGGCTGACTTCAGGTAAGGATGCAGTTTCCATTCCTGAAGGGCATTAGTGAACCAGATGGGTTTTTCCAACAATTGATTCATGGTCATCATTAGACTCTTAACTCCAGATTTTTATTGAATTCAAAATTCACCATCTGCCATGGTAGGATTTGAACCCAAGTCTCTGGATTAACAGCCCAGCAATAATGCCACTAGGCTATCATCTCCCTGTAAAGTGGGGAAGGGGGCGGCTTGTTTCTCTTGTCAGCAGCTTGGGAGGTTTACCAGATCCAGTCAAAGAAACAGATCTGTTGCGGCACAAAAGGGAGGCTATTTGGCCCATTTTTACAAGAATAGCAAAAGTTGCTGCTGTCTCCTGCTGACCTGGGAAAGCAGGGCTGTGCGAGAACAGAATCATAGCATCCCTACAGTGTGGAGGCAGGCCATTCATCCCATTGAGTCCACACTGACCCTCTGAAGAGCATACTACCTAGGACCTCCTCCCTACCCTATCCCTGTAACCCTGCATTTCCCATGGCTAATCCAAAAACCTGTGCATCCCTGGACACTATGGGACAATTTCCCATGGCCAATCCACCCTAACCTGCACATCCTTTGACTGTGGGAGTAAACCTGAGCACCCAGAGGAAACACACACAGATACAGAGAGAACGTGCAAACTCTACACAGACAGTCACCCAGTCAATGGGAAGTTCCGCTCCAAGCCACACACCATCCTGACTTGGAAATATATCACTGTTCCTTCACTGTCACCGGGTCAAAATCCTAAACCTCCCTTCCTACCCGACTTCCTTTCCACCCGCCCTCCCCTACTTGTATCTCATGGGCTGCAGAGCTTCAAGAAGGCACCCCACTTCCACCTTTCATACAATGTGAAGTTGTTTATTTTGGAAGGCAGAACAAAAGAACAGAATACTATTTAAACAGAGAGAAAGCTGCAACACAAAGGGACCTGAGGGGTACGAGTGCACGAAACACAGAAAACTAGCACATAGTTAGAGTCATACAGCACAGAAACAGACTGTTTGGTCCAATTCGTCCATGCCGACCGTAATTCCAAACTAAACTCATCCCACCTGCCTGTGCCTGGCCCATATCCCTCCAAACATTTCTTATTCATGTACTTATCCAAATGTCTTTTAATCATTGTAATTTTACCCGCATCCACCACTTCCTCAGGAAGTTCATTCCACACACAAACCACTCGCTGTATAAAAGAGGTTGCCCCCATGGCCTTTTTAAATCTTTCTCCTCTCGCCATAAAAATGTGCCTCCTAATCTTGCTCCTTAGGGAAAAGACACCTGCCATTCACCGCATCCCTACCCTTCATGATTTTATAAGAACATAAGAACTAGGAGCAGGAGTAGGCCATCTGGCCCCTCGAGCCTGCCCCGCCATTTAATAAGATCATGGCTGATCTTTTTGAGACTCAGCTCCACTCACCCGCCCACTCACCATAACCCTTAATTCCCTTACTGTTCAAAAATTTATCTAGCCTTGCCTTAAACACATTGAGCGAGGTAGCTTCAACCGCTTCACTGGGCAGGGAATTCCACAGATTCGCAACACTTTGGGTGAAGAAGTTCCTCCTGACCTCAGTCCTACATCTGCTTCCCTTTATTTTGAGGCGATGCCCCCTAGTCCTAGTTTCACCTGCTAGTGGAAACAACCTCCCTGCCTCCACCTTATCTATTCCCTTCATAATCTTATATGTTTCTATAAGATCTCCCCTCATTCTTCTGAATTCCAATGAGTATAATCCCAGTCTACTCAGTCTCTCCTCATAATCCAACCCTCTCAACTCTGGAATCAACCGAGTAAATCTCCTCTGCACCCCCTCCAGTGCTAGTATATCTCTTGTCAAATAAGGAGACCAAAACTGCACACTGTACTCCAGGTGTGGCCTCACCAGGACCCTATACAGCTGCAGCATAGCCTCCCTGTTTTTAAACTCCATTCCTCTAGCATCCCTTTATAAAGCTCTATAAGGTCACCACTCAACCTGCTACGCTCCATTCAAAAAAGTCTCATCCTTTCCAGCCTCTCCTTATAACTCAAACCCTCCATTCCCAGCAACATCCTAGTAACCCTCTTCTGCACCCTCTCCAGCTTAATAGTATTCTTCCTTTTACAGGTTGCAGCAGGGAATCAGGAAGGCTAATGGAATGTTGGCCTTTATTTCAAGGAGGTTGGAGTGTAAGAGTAGGGAAGGCTTACTGCACCTGTACAAGATGCTGGTGAGACCACACCTGGAGTATTGTGAGCAGTGTTGGTCCCTTTATTGAAGAAAATATATCATATCATTGGAGGCAGTAGAGAAGATTGCATGGTATTGCAGGATTGTCTTATGAGGAAAGGTTAAACAGGTTGGACTCTACTCACTGGGGTTTAGAAGAATGAGAGGTGATCTCATTGAAACACGAAGGATTCTTGAGGGGTTTGGCAGGGTAAATGCAGAGAGGATGTTTCCCCCCATGGAAGAGTCTAGGACCAGAGGACACAGTCTCAGAACAAAGGGGCGCCCATTTAAGACTAATATGAGGAGGAATTTCTTCTCTTAGAAGGCTGAGAGTCTTTGGAACTTCTTGCCACAGAGAGCCATGGGGGTAGAGTCCTTGTGTATCTCGGGCTGAGATAGATTCTTGATCAGTCGGGGACTTAAGGGTGACGGGGAAAGGGCAGGCCGTGAGGAATGTTGAATCAGCCATGATCCCATTGAATGATGGAGCAGGCTCGAGGGGGCTGAATGGCCTACTCCTGTTCTTATTTCTTATGGTGTTCTCAAGAGCAGATTGGGACGAACACATGTTGCCTTTACCAACAATTCTCACATCCCACGAAAGAATAAAATATTTATCTTTCAAGCAATGGCACAAAAAAATGCTGGTTATCTGTACATTCCCCTGAACTGATTGTGGGCAAACTGGCTCTTTTGCCTCCTGCCTTACACCAACTACCCTTTAGAAATAATCTGTTGGGTAGAAACGCTGTAGGAGAGCCAGCAGTGGTGAAACATGCTATATAAATGCAAGGTTTTCTGCATATTTTCAGGAAAATTAAAAATTGCAGAATCAGGGCACTCAGATTCTAAAGGCTGGTGTTTGCTTTCATATGACCCTTGTAGTCGAGTCATACAGCAGCTCTCTGAAAGGACTGACCTTAAAACTGAGCCTGTCCTTTCAGTGACAGAGTCTGAGTAATGATTTACTAGAGGGGTGAAAATCCTCATGTTGATAGATTTGGTGGCTGTCTCCTCTTTCGATGCATCTGTGAATGGTCAGCAATGCAAGAGGGTTTTGCTTCTCTGTGTCTGGCGAAGACATTCCTTCCACTCTCCCCCACTTCCACTCGATCACGCTTGAATTATGGCTCTTCTGTACACGAACCCGATCTACCTGCCACGGTTCCTTGGCTAATGACGGTCTCAGTTTTGGCATTTTCAATTGACGCTCCCCTCCCCCCACACCGACTCCATTGATAAAGTCATTGGGGAAGAGGTCTCTAGATTTCCAGGACTGCTTGTGTGAGGAAGACTTTCTTGTCATCACACATGAACTGCCAAGCTTCAATTTTAATGTTACTTTTCCTTGGTTTGGAGTTTCCCATCAAAAGGACATGGTCCCTTTGCACCCACCCTGGGTATTGGGGCAATTTGGCTGACAGAACATAGGCAAGTCTTTCCATTAGAGAGAGGCAATGGGTTAAATGGGTTGAGGGAAACCACTCAATTCTAGGCCTCCAATGAATTACCACCAGCTGATACAGGGATTGAACACATGCCCTTGGCATTAACCTGCAGCCAACTGAGCTAAACAATCCAGAACTTGTTAGATCGTTTTAAGCACATCAATTCGATCCTCTGCTTAATCCTCTATGCCCACAGGGGAAGGCAAAGGCTGGTCTATGCAACCTGTCCGAATAATTCAACTCTTTTGCCCTCAGTGCCCTAGTGAATTGGATCAGTGCCAACTTCCAAGGCCAATGTCTCCTTTCTGAAGTGCCCAGAAATGTAACACCAGTTACAGAACGACTGGAGATTTCTCCAACTGGAGTGAGACTTCTGCTCCTTAGCATTCCAGCACCCTTCAAATAGAGACCTAGCTTCCTTTAATCTTTCCGATATTTTGTGATGTCAATGCGCTCCGGATGGAAAATGATGATCTGACAACAAGGTGGAAATAATTGCATTCCCACATTATCTTCTTGGGAAAAGCCTTCTGATGTGCGCTGTCAGGACAGGAATGGATTTTGATGAGTGCATTATTGAGACACTGGCACACCCACCTTTGGGGTTGGTTAGCTCAGTTGGCTGCTCTGCAGTGCAAAGTGACATCAACAGTGTGGGTTCAATTCTCCACAGTGGCTGAGATTACCACAAAGGACTCTCCTTCTCAGCATCTCCCCCCACCTGAGGCGTGGTCACTCTCAGGTTAACCTACCATCACCAGATATCTCTCTCCCTAATGAGAGAGGTGGAGTTTTGTAACTTTACCCCAACTCCATGATATGTAAGAGAGCTCCAAGGATTTTGTCTCTCCTGTCCCACTGCCAGCTGTGGATAGGGATATTATAGAAGGATTCCCCTACTTGACTTGCTGCCTTACTCAATCTAACAGCACACTTACAATTTTCTTTTTGAAACCAATGCACAAAAACGTAGAAGAAATGCAAAGGAAGCATAACGAAACAGAAAAATGATATTGGCTGTTCAGCTCCAGGAAATTCCAAGGAGGATTGACTATGAAACATTGCATGCAAATCCATGTTGGTCGCTTTTTATGTAAAACTAATAGAGATTATCTATCCTGAATTTGTCTTTCTGTCCAATTCCGAAAATCCTCTTCCAATGTCACAAAAAAAATTCTGGATGCATCGTTTCCATTCCGCCCACTCAGTAAGCGATTATGGGTTCAGCAAGAACTGGAGGGAGTGGCTAATTAATCTTGAAGGATTAAGTGGAGGGGAGGGGAGCCAAGGATTATGATGATGGCTCCAGGGAGAGGTACAGGAGCTGGGCTGCACCTGCTGTATTGGAGCAGTGAGGAACATATTCCCAGGCCTGAGGCTGGGTCTCAATCCATGAACTGGACACAGAAGCTCGGAGGAGGCAAATGCGCTTGCCCATTTCTTACCACATAGCCTTTGAGTAAACAAAAGGCAGTCTATTGATTCTGGAAACATTTCCTTATTAAAACTGAGATGGTGGCCAATTCACCAGAGCTTTCAACCCCAGGGAAAAGATGGCACAGGACCAGAAACATGTCATTATGCATGAAACGGAAACATGTTGGAATCAAACACATTTTTTCTGAGCAGAGTGAACCTCATTTTAAGCGAGATGGATCCTGCACTGATTGTGTTTGAACCAAGGACCAGCACAAAGAGACTGCCATTGACACAGCACCTTTCCTGACCTCAAATCACTGTGCAACCATTCAGATACATGTATTTATTTGAAAGTGTGATGTAGGAAAGGCAGCATTAAATCTCTCTGCAGCAAACTTCAACAAACTGCAATGCGATAATGATCAGATAATCTTTTTCTAATGATGTTGGTGAGGGATAAATATTGGCTGGGACCCCCAGGGAGATCTCTGTTAGAATGGTTCGGCAGTATGCGCTAAGTCCACGTGAGAGAATGGGAAGATAGGGCCTCAAGTTGAAAAGCTGTTCTTATAAACAACACCATCGACACTACTGTACCCCTCCAGTATTGCACTCCTCCAATACACAATCTCTCCAGTTCTGCATCCCTCCAATACACAACATCTCCAATACTGCTCCCCTCCAGTAATGCACCCTCCAGTACACAACCTCTCCAGTTCTGCACCACTCCAGTACTGCATCCCTCCAATTCATCACCTCTCCATTACTGCACCCCTCAAATACTGCATCCGTCCAATTCACCACCTCTCCAGTACTGCATCCCTCCAATTCACCTCCTTTCCAGTACAGCATCTGTCCAATTCACCCCCTCTCCAGTACTGCATCCCTCCAATTCACCCCCTCTCCAGTACTGCACCCTTTAATTCACCACTTCTCCAGAACTGCACCCCTCAAATACTGCATCCCTCCAATTCACCATCTCTCCAGTACTGCAGCCCCCCATTCACCACCTCTCCATTACTGCACCCGCCCCTCATTCACCCCCTCTCCAGAACAGCGGCCTCTCGCTTCGTACGCGCATCTTTT